CCACAATCGTGTTGCGAGCAACCAAAAAGGGAAATAAAAAGCCCCGTAGCAAGCAATTAAAGAAAAAAAACAACAACAAAACTCTCACTTCAAGGACAAGAAGCGAACTTGTCACCGCAACAAATTATTCGCTTAAAAATTACCTCCGTCCCCCGGCCCCTTCTCCCCCCCCCCCGCCCCGCCCCAAACACCCCTGCGCCTCACACCGTGGCACTACTGAATCTGGACCATTGTCTCTTTTGTTTCGCTCTCGATGTGCTTCACGAACATGTCCACCATAACATCCTCAATGAAGCCGAACTCGGGCCGCCGCAACGGGATCGGTCTATGCTCTTCGCCCCGCCAGTACACCAGCACTCGCTCTTGGTAGTTCTGCAGCAGATTTCCAACAACCGCGTCGCAGCTGTACTTTATGAGGTTTTCCGGCGCCTTTTTCTTCAGCGTCTCCTCATCCGTCTCCAGTTTAAAGGTGATCAGGTAGCGCGGAACGGTGGAAGAGGACGCGCGCCACTCCTCGCTGATACAGCCAAGCATCTTGGGCATGGACTCAAAGCAAATCTGGAGGCCGTCGTTGCTGCTGATCTTGTTCGTCGGCATGCGGTTGAGCGGAACAAAAAAGTCCGACACCGCCGCCGCCGCAATAAGCATCATGGGCAGCGACTGCACCGGCTCCGCACTGCGGCTCAGTGTCTCTGAGAGGAGCCGCAAAAGAAACAGGTATTCCATGACGGTCTTAAATGGAACGTACAGGATGCGATTCCCGTGCTTCTCGTACTCCTGCATGATGGCAAGGACCTTGGGCGAGCGCACCGGCGCGGCAAGCTCCGCAAAGAACTGCTCTGTGCTCATGTGATCAAAATGCCGCCGGAAGGGGAGGGTGGAACCCTCGCGGTAGAGGAAGACGCAGGCCCATTCACGCTGCAAAAGGGCCTCCACCATGGCGGCCCCGCGACCGCCGGAGCTGAAGTTTGTGAGGTAACGCACTGCATTGACCTCCAAGGGGACGTTTGTGCCGCCGCTTGTGACGAGGGCCACGCCTCTGCACGGCTGCCGCGACACCCGACGGGCAAACTCCAGCAGTTTCGTGCTCCACTGCTGCAGCGACGCCATCGAGGCGCCCGTCATGTTTTCCATGAGGAACTGCGAGAACTTGTCCGTCGTCATTGTGCCTTGAACACCTCGTGCCCTCCCCCCTTTTTTAAAAAAAAACTAGTATATATCAATGTTTAGAGAAATATATATCTAGATGTACGTGTGTTGTTTTTTTTGCTCCGCTTGGTGGGTTCTTCTGCCCACTGACGCCCCCAGACCCAAACAGACGCTCCTCCGAACGGCCAGGCGGGCACCCACGGAACACAAGAAGCAGAGCTGTAGCAATTATGCCCTGTGGGGCGTACTCGCGGCGCGTGAGTCTAGCAACGGGAGACAGATAAATACATGAGGGGGAGGGGGGGATAATTGCAGCCACGCAGTTGCGAGCGCCACACATGAGCACCACCGCCGTCTCCCCCTGCTTCTCTCTCTCTCTCTGTGTGTGCCACCGCCCAGCGGCGGCAGAGCCAAGCCCCACACAGCGAGCCGTCGCAACCGGCACAGAGGCGGCGGAGCAACAACAAAAACAACAAAAACAGGGAAAAAAAGAACGATACCGCACGCAGTGCGTCGTCGTCACGCGGACGTGGCCACGCTGGCCAGCTCTGCCTGCAGCTCCTCCGTCCATTCCTGCAGCTGCCGCATTAGACGCTGCTTTTCCCTCCAGAGCGGCAGCACGGCCTCGTTGAAAGTCAGGCAGTGCCGCCGCACCCTCCGCGGGGCGTACGCCGCCGTGGCGCCAGACGGCAGCGCAACAGACTCCTCCGCCTCCGCCTCGTGCTCCGTCACCTCCTCGTTTTGCGCAGCATCGTCGTCATCGGAGGAGAGGGAAGAGGCATCACGGCACGAGACAAACGTAAACGCCCTTTGAGCCGTCACAGGCACCAGCTGGCGCAGCAAGCACAGCTCCGCGTCATGCAGGCTCGCGCACGTACCACGAGGCTCCGTGGGGTCCGTCTTCACGCCACCGCCCTGCGCAGCATCCTTTGGCGCCTCGCACGTCGTGGCCGTCTCCTGTGTGGCAGGCTGCGTGAGCGGCACGGCAGCACAGTGCTCCGCAATGCGCTGCGACAGGCAAACGGAGGCGTGGTAGTGCTTCTGCTCAATGCGCTGGACTCGATCGATCCATGCGTCTAAAAACTGCGGCACAGCGTCGTCTTCGTCGTCATCGTCCGCTTCCGCTTCCGCCCGCGCCTCTTCCCGGAGTGCGTCCTGCAGCTGGCGCAGCGAAGAGCTCACCTGCTGGAAGGCAGTGACGATGGTGTCGTTGAGGATCCCTCGCAGTTCCGCCGCGCTCAGTGCACCGGAGAGCGCAAGATGAAACTTGGCGTCCCAGAGATGATAGACCTCGCAACGGGTGTGCTGCAGCTGCAACGCCCTCGCGAGGGGATGCATCGCCGTCACCCACGCGCCACCACTCCTGCTAACTAACTGTACGCGGCATGAGGGCACGTGTTCACCGAAACACGGCAAAAAGGGCAGCAGAGAAAAAAAATAAGAAACAAAAAAAAAAACAAGCGAGGGAAAAATGGATTCGCTAAGGAAGGAAGGAAGAAGGACATGAGCGAGGCTGCATTGGGGGTACCCGTTTCCCCTCACGTTGCAAAAACGACAACAAAAACAACGATCATGAAGCATGGAATGGGGGACTGCGCATGAAGGGGCATTCTTCGTTACGCCTGTACAAGGTTACATCATTGCCGCCAAAGCACCATTGAAGGGAACAGTAAAATTTGGAATATATATTTGTATGTATGTATATGTGCCTGGATGCATTTATCCCTGTGTTTGTGTGTGTGAGAGAGAGAGAGTGTGTGTGAGGCAGAGTGAGGAAGCTGCTCTCTTTCACGGTGTCACTTGCTGCTTCGCCTCACAACCCTCATACCATACGCACAGATTCAGATAAATACATCGTCGCATACTTTGTTTTTACAACACACCTTTGCTCATCCACTCCAACTGCGCCTTCACGTCGTAGCAGACAATAGGCACGTACCCGCGACCACCGCCTGCGTGCTTAAAGTAGTGCTCACCGAGTGCAAAGCCCAACGCGACGCGAGCCTGATCCTCCAGGTCTTGGTTCTGCTGACGGCACGCCGCCTGAAAGTTCGCACGGAAGTACTGAAGCGCCATCTCCTCATCGCCGTTGCTCTTGCAGGCCTGCCCCAGCTGCATGGTGGCGTGGCAGATACCCTCCATGTCTCCGGTTTCACTAGACAGCGACAGGGCTCGTCGCAGTGACTGCATCGCCTCTGAGCTCAAGTTCATGCGTTCCTGTAAACTGGCGACAACCAACGCGGCCTTTCGCTCATTCTCTAGAAGTCCTTCTCGCTGCGATATGTCTAAAAAGGCCTGCTGATACGCGAGGGCCTGTTGCAGGTCACCCAGCTGCTCACATATGGAGCCGAGGGCATTATACCCAACCGCTTCATCCTTGGCACTTCCCACGCGCTTGGCGACGGCGACGGCACGCTCAAAGAACCACCTTGCCTCCTCGGGGTTCGTGCGCTTCAACTCCTCCCCAAGCGACTGGTACGTTCGCATGAGGTGGTGACTTGCCTTTAGGGCCGTCTCCTCATCCTCCAGCGCCAGGGCCAATTTATACATCGTCTCGTAGAGCGCCAGCGCCTTACGGAACTGTTTCCGCCGCTCAAAAAAGGCAGCATAGGCGCCACGCACGTCCTGCTCCAGCGGCCGGTCGAGAGACTCCATTGCGAAGCGCAGCGCTGTCTCGTAGTGCCAGGCCGCCTCGTCGTGGTCGCGTTCGCCCTCAAAGTAGTCCGCCAGGGCCTGGCAGCGTTCGTAGAGCAGGTGGAACTCGCTCTGCCGGCGCAGCACCTCCACCGCGGAGAGTTGGTCCTTCACCCACTCGAGGCGGTCGTCCGGGATGGTGAAATGCGCCTGGGCGAGCTCGTCGACGCAGACAGGGTCGCGGTGGGAGAGCTCAAAGAGGTGAATGAAGGTCGCCACGCACCCCTCCGAGAGGGCGTCTACGCAGAGGTGAAACCGCACCGACTCCTTCTCGCTCTGGCAGAGGACAATGCCCTCCACTTGCCCCTCCACCGCGGTGGAAGGTCCTCCCTGCACCGCGCTGGCGCTCCTGTCCGGACGGCCGTGGCGCGTTGTGCCGAAGCCGAAGGCAGAGACCGTCAGCGCCTCGCGCTGCTCCCTCGAGATGAGGGAGCCCCGGCGGCGGGGGAAGCCGGCGGCGGCGGCGGCGGCGGTGGTGGGGGGGCTTGGCGCCTCGGGCGGCTTCATCGGCGGGAGGATGAGCTGCCGCTGCGCCTGCGCCCCTGCCTGGGCCTCTGGGGCGCAGATTGCCAGCGCCATCTCCTTCCGCTTCGCCAACGCCTCGGCCTCCATGGCGTCCGCAACGAACTCCACCCCACGTTTCCGCATGACTACAAACCCAAGCGAAGCGCAAAAAAAAACAAAGTATATATATATATATATGTATGAGGGAAACACCAGCCCTTGCTGTCAGTATACGGCGGGGGTTGCTTGCTTGCCTGCCTGCCTGCTGCACACCCAAGCTGGCACGCACCCAAAAAGCGAGGGGGCAGAAAGGAGAGAGAGAGAGAGAGAGGGAGAAAGTCATGCAAAATGAGGCGGCAGCCTTCAGCCGGAAACGGCAAGCGAGCAAAGGCAGCGAGTTTACAAGGGACGCAGACATGCCATGCATCCTCCAACGCGGATAACATTAGGTAATACAGATAGATGTCGATGCAGATATATTTTCCTTTCGCTTATTCCTCCGATGCCTCACACGTCCGTCAAAACCATGCACACACCCACGCACGCACGCACACCCGATAGTGAAAGTTTCCCCACCCGGCTTTCTGCCTTGGCGCGGCCTTCGCGGCCACCTTTGCCCTAATCCCCTCCGCTGCACTGCGACACGAATCACCTCCTGCCACCCACCGCTTATGGTGTCCTCCTCGCCAACGGCGGCGGCGACGACGACGGAGGAAAAAGAGCAAATAAAATAAAAAAAACGGCACACAAAACAAAACAAAGACCGGCGCGAGGGCCGGCGTTTGTGTTTGTGTGCGACGAACGATGCTCATAAAAAGAAAACGACAGGTGAGTGCGGTCAGCAAAGAAACAAATAAAATATGGGAGAAAAAAAAAGAAAAAATAATAATAACAAGAATTCACCCACCGCCCAATAAAGAAAAAGGGCTCGTCTTGCACCACACGGACGGAGAGGGAGACTGCTGCACGGAACACGCTGCGAGGCACGTGTGCGAGCACGTCACTTCAGTCGTACACCCCACACGCAGACCACACACGACGGCGCTGCTTTCCCTCTTTGTTCTTGAGCTCATTCGTCGAGCGTCGCGTTTTCAGCCAAAGTTGTCTTTGATTGATATTTCTTGCTGCTGAAAACAAATCGAAAACACACTCAAAGGCGCAAAGAAAAAAAAACCCAACAACAACGACACAACAACAACAAGAAAGAAAAGTCGTTTGCTGCGTCTCTCCCACTTTCTTGGCCACACTGCGAATACCATAAGCACACATGCACGTGCTGCCTGATCGAGGCAGTAATATCAATGAAGGAAGCGGTATAGTAAAAACAAGAGAGAGAGAGAGAGAGGGAAGTCACCGTAACGATATTACGGTGTGAGGGAGACGGTGCCGGTAAACGGAGGGGTGAGGGAAGTGTCAATCACGCGTGGCGCGTATTACTAGTACTTCTTCAGCACCTCAGGTTTGACGTGCTGCGGAATAGTGACTTTCAGCCCCTCCACGCGGGACATGGCCCGCACCGCCGTCTCATAGCCGCACGCGTTTCCGCTCCACGAGCGGCGGGTCACACCGTTCAGAACGTCCCACATAAGCATTAGTTTGGCGCGGCGTTCGGCGTCGGCGGAGCCGTCCAGCACAAGACAGAAGCCACCGTTCATGGCCTCGCCCCAGCCTGTGCCACCGCCGTTGTGCAGCGAGACCCAGGTGGCGCCGCGGAAGGAGTCACCAATGACGTTCTGCACCGCCATATCCGCAGTGAGGGAGGAGCCGTCGTAGAGGTCGGAGGTTTCGCGGAAGGGGGAGTCGGTGCCGCTCACGTCGTGGTGGTCGCGCGAAAGCACCACCGGTCCCTTCAGCCGGCCCTCGCGGATGGCGTCGTTGAAGTTCTTGGCGATGGTCTGCCTTCCCTCGCAGTCGGCGTAGAGAATGCGCGCCTGTGAACCCACGACGAGCTTATTCTCGCCGGCCTGCTTAATCCAGAGGAGGTTGTCGGAGATCTGCTTCTGCGACTTGGTGGAGGCGTCTTTCATCAGCTGCTCCAGCGTTTCCGCGGCGATCTGGTCGGTGACGGCGAGGTCCTCCGGCAGGCACGAGGTGCACACCCAGCGGAAGGGGCCAAAGCCAAGCGCAAACACATCGCCCATAATATCCTGCACGTACGATGGGTAGCGGAAGCGGTTGATGCTCCGCACCGTGTCGTCGGGAGCCCACACCTGCGCCCCTGCACGGGAGGCCTCCAGGAGGAAACTGTTGCCGTAATCCCAAAAGCGCAGGCCACGTGCAGCCATGGCATTGATGGCGGTGACCTGGCGGCGCAGGGACTCCTGCACAAGTTCCTTGAACTTGTCCGGGTTCTCCGTCATCATCTTCTTGCCCTCCTCAAACGTGAGCTGGACAGGGTAGTACCCGCCGTGAAACGGGTTGTGGCAACTCGTTTGGTCGGAGCCGAGGTGCACAATGTTGTCCTTCTCCTGCACCAGGCGTTCCCACACTGTCACGACGTTGCCGAGGTAGCCAATGCTGACCGCCTCCTTGGCGGCGGCGGCGGCGCGGACCCGCTTGAGAAGGGAGTCCAGATCTGTCTCCACCTCCTGCAGCCACCCCTGCTCCTTCCGCTTGTAGAGGGCACTGGGGTCGACCTCAGCCACGACGACGACGGCACGGCAAATGACACCGGCCTTTCCCTGCGCCCCACTCATGCCACCGAGGCCACTGGTCAAGACGACTTTCCCGGCAAGGTCCTCCACGCCGAGGTATTTGCGCCCGGCATTACGGAAGGTGATGGTCGTGCCGTGAACAATGCCCTGTGGGCCAATGTAGCAGAAGGAGCCAGCCGTCATCTGGCCATACTGCGTGCACCCCATCGCGTAGAGCCGCTCGTACTGCTCACGTGTAGAGTAGTTTGGCACCATCATGCCGTTTGTAACCACCGCACGCGGGGCATCTGGGTGGCTTGGGAAGAGGCCCAACGGGTGGCCCGAGTAGAGCGCAAGGGTCTGCTGGTCAGTCATCTCACCCAGGTACTTCATCGTCAGGCAGAACTGACCCCAGTTGTTAAGCACGCCCCCGTTTCCGCCGTAGGTGATGAGTTCGTGAGGAAACATGGCCACGCGGGCGTCAAGATTGTTCATTATCATCAGCATCATCGCCGCCGCGAACTTGCTCTTGGCGGGGTAGTCGGTGATGGGGTAGGCCTTCATCTCGTACTGGGTGGGGCGGAGGCGGTACATGTAGATGTGACCGTAGTCGTCCAGCTCCTTGTTGAACTCCTCCGCGAGGACCTCGTGGTCGGCGGGGTTGAAGTAACGCAGGGCGTTTGCAAGCGCCTGGCGACGATCCTCCGGCGACAGGTTTGGCGTGCGCCTGGGCGCGTGCGGGACACTCGGGTCCAGCGCCTTGCACGGCGGCGGCAGCGGCGAGGGGATGCCGACGGCGAGGCTCTTGAGCACTTCCTTCATGGACGTCATTTTGCCGGAAACCGTGGACCACCCCAAGAGGCCTTCAAAGAAACAAACACAAGTCTTCTTTCGACAGTCGAATGAGCTTCTTTGATGCAGGCATGAGCACACAGAGGGGGGAAAAAAGAAAGAAAGAAAAAACGCATAACGCTACCACTTCACCACGCATTTTTTTTGTTTTTGTTTTGTGCATGCATACGTCACCGATAACCGAGGAAACTGCACAGACACACACGCACACACAGTGGGATGAAGAGCAAGAGAAGCAGAACTAGCGAAGGAGAGAGGCACATCGTTAGAGAGGACCCGTGTTCATCACTCCGCTTCCGCCTCTGCGCGAAGCCGTTTACGCAGGGCCTGCATGTTTGCCATGCCACTCACGGTCACGGTGTTCGCCAGCCCCAGCACGGCGCCGCAGCGCACGGAGAAGCCCTCGTCGCCGTAGCCCTCCACCCAGCCCCCGCGCGTCGGCGGCGGGTCCGTCGGCAGCTCCGGGAGACGGCCGCCGCGGTCCCAGCCCTGATTCGTCAAGTGGTACAGCACAACCCTCAGGTACCGCCGCCCAAACGGAGTCTCCTCAATCTCCTTCTTCACCGCCGCCACAACGCCTTCCTCCCTCTCCTCCTCCGCCGTCTCGCTCTTCACGCCGCCTGACGGGCCCCGGTGCTTTGCGCCGTACTCGACGAAGCAAATGCCCCGGCTGGAGCCGTTCGCCGGGTTGGTGTAGAGGCGCACCGTCACCGGTGCGGCGGCCGGGTGCAGCTGCAGGAGGTGGTCCCGCACCTGCGCCTCGCTGGTGTGCCACGGAAAGCCAAAGACGACGACGACGTTGGCGGCTCGCCGCAGCGCCGCGGAGGGTTCCACCAAACGTGGCTTTTCATCCATCGGCACGACGCCGGCTCCTCCTCCTCACCCCGCCTCCCCTCCCCTCCCCTCTATCCAGGAAACCAAACACGCGGAATCCCCTTCCATGCGGAACGGAAAAGTTAAAGAAAAAAGAAAAAACGGCACACATTGCAGAGAGCCGCGTGGAGAAGCCCCCAGAAGGAGAGGGGGGGAGGAGGGACGTGCGCGGAGGGAGAACGACGGAAAAAAAACACACACACACTTACCGACTGAACAACACTCTCAATGTGAAGATGGATTCACCTCCATGCCGCCACGCATGTAAAAAGGACTCTGTAAGTATTTCTTTGATGTGGTTTTGTTTTCTTTTGACACTCCCCACATTTTTGCCACTCACTTGCTTGCTGTTGCTTCGACTCGCTCCCTTTCTCTCCTCTCCAGCAGCAGCAGCAGCAACCACAATATGTTTTTCTTTTTGCGCCCCCTCGTTTCTACAGCCTGCGCGGCAATGCTGCTGCCTGCTGCTCAAGGCTCCTTCTCAGTTCCACCGGGAGCGCCAGTCGACCGTGGCTGTCGCAGTCCACAATTCGCTGCAGCTGCGCCCTGGTGAACCCGTCCTGCGCATGCTCCCGCAGCAACCGCAGACACCCGTCCTCCAGGCCCCACGCTCTCGTCCAGCGAGGGCAGTCGCAGAGCAGCATCGACACACACCGCGCCGAGCCATGCTCCTTTAGGTGCATGTAACTCAGCAACGGCACCAGCAGCCTCGCAAGCGCCTCCACGTTCTTGCATGCATTTTGCGTCGGTGAATCAGCAGCAGCGTCGGCGTCGGCGGTTTCCGTTAACGTGTGTTGTACTTTATCCAGGCATGCGGCCATTATCGCCGCCTGCAACGGCGTCAACGACTGCCGTGACGAAGGCGACGTTGACGACAGTGCCGGCTCCAATGCACCCTTCAACGCCGCAAGGACACAGTGAAGGGGGTCGCCGCGCACCTGCAGGAATGTGCTGCCGATAAGGAGATTGACAAGCACCGAGAGACTCACCTGGGGCCCGTCGCCGCGGAGTTGCTTCGCCAGTACACTTTCATGCAGCCGCCGCAGTGTCTCTTGCAGCTGCCGAGGTGCAGCGTTAGCCGTCGCCGCCAACTCCGGCCTCGTCTTCGCGTCACTGCCGCCCGCCTGCGTCTCCGCTGCGACGTCGAGGGGGAAGCGCAGGTGCGGCTCCCCCAGCCCGAAAAACACGGCCACCGGTGCGTTCGGCAGCTCCGAGTAGCAGCGCCACAAGTCGGTGCTAATGGCCTCCGCGAGCGACTCCCGCACGTACTCCGGCATCACTGGGCTGTAGGCCCGCACCAACATTCGCAGCAGCTGGTGAAGGTCCACGTCGTGGAAGGTGGTGGGGTGCAGGGCAAGCCGCTGCCACGCGGCAGCCTCGGGGACGCGGTCGCTCGGCCACCGCCCCAGGGCGTGGACAACACCAACAAATGTGCACACGGCAGACTCCCGCTCCGTCCAGCAGGCGCCACTCGCCGTGATGCCCTCAAATGCGAGTGCGAGGGCGGTCTCTTCTCCCACCAGCTCCCTCAGCAGCCGCACACCACGCGGCTGCGCGTCATCGGCGGGCGACACGGCGGACACCGCAGACGACGTGGAGAAAACAGGAACCGCCGACACGAGCATTTGGTTCAGCACGGCGCGGAACTCCTTCTCGCCCTGAAGGGGAAGGGTGCTATGCAGTGGGAAGGTGCTTGACAGCCGCAACACGTCCTCCCACGCGGTGGTTTGCGTGGCGAACGACCACAGGGCACCGTACTCCACGGACGACAGCGCGTCAGTTGGCGTGGCGAGGACGGACTCCAGCAACGCGGCCTCAAATACCCGCTTTTCGGCCTCCAACGCAAGTGGGAAGCGCTGAACGGCCTGCAGAGTCTGCCGAAGACCCAGCAGCGACGCCGGCGTGGGCGGCCGCCGCGCCATCTCGGTGAGGTGCTCCAGCATCGCGCGGTGGTCGACGTAGTCGAGCAGGGCGTACCGCTGAATCAACTTGGCGTTGAACGCCGTCAGCTGCTCCGAGTCGCGCCGCAAGTGCTGCGGGACGGCCAGCTGCACCAACCGGTTCATGGGCCGCACCAGTCGAAAGGACAGGGAGTCCATTGGCGCCGCTCCCACGGAGAGAGAGAGAGAGACGAGCGCGGAACCTTCCTACGGCCAACTTGGTGGGCAGTTTGGAGGCGTGGGTGGAGGCAAAGAGACACGATTGCGGGGTGTGTGTGTGTGTGTGGTGGGTGCACAGGAGTGGGCAAAACAGTCCCAAACAAACGGTCAAGGAAACGGCACCGCAATGCACGCCCCATCAGGCCCGGAGTGAACGAAAAAATACAGGGAAAGAACGCTCTCATGTTTTCATCCCCGCCCGCATCCTCCCTCCTCTCTTTCTCTCTCTTTTTTGTTGTTGCTTTCCTTCGGCTGCTGCTCGCCTCTCCTCCATCCCTCTGTTGCTCTGCGCCGTGGGAGTCGCACTGCCAGTCTGCTTACAGTAACACAGGCCGGTGCGGCATAAGTATAAGGCACCTCCACCCAAAAAAAAAGGAGAGAGTGAACAACGACAAATAAATAAAAATCTATCCAGGATCTAATAGTGCATCTTCCACTTCAAAAAAAAAAAAAGACACCGCCCTTCTCCCCCTCAAAGAAGGTACTTGCACGCACACGCACACGCACACCCTCTATCTACGAACGCGTGCATAGAATGCGGACTACTTCTCGGCGCGCGAAGACGTACGCCGCGAGTCCGACATGGCACTACTACTGCGCAGTCGCTTCATCCTAGCAACGCCGCTAACGCCGGCCGCGCGGTTCACGTCTTTGCCCGCGAGAGACGACAGCTGCGACGACTCCCCAGCCGCAATAGGAACCGAAGCGGACGTGTTCCCCGCGTTCGCGACAGTTGGGGTCCCTGTGGCGGTGGTGGAGAGCGATGAGTTGGAGGACCGGGGCGGCGGCATGTTCCCCATCTGCACAAGCGCCCCCAGCGAGGTGGTGGCCGCCTTCACGCGAAAGGCCTCATTGATGTGCTGCAGCGACTCCGCCACGCCGTCGTCGACGGCGCAGGGGGGGAAGTGCTCCCGGCCGCTCTCCACCGCGTCGCGGCAGAGGTTCCGCAAAAGGTGGCGAAACGGCAACACCTCCGCAGGCGACGCCGTCTGCCGCGCGGTGGTGGCGAGGCCGCTCTCAAAGAGGCGGTGCTCGTCCTCGAGCTCCCTGTCCAGCCTGGCCTGCTCCCGCGCGTGGGCGGCGAGCACGTCCCGCACCTGCTGCTGCATCGTGCGCTCCAGGGACTCCAGCGACGCCCGACGGCGCCCCTGCAACGCCTCCACCGCCGCACAGTGACGCTGCGTCACGGCAAGCACCTCCTGAGAGAGGCTGCAGAAGCCGTCATTGATGCGGTTCACAAGCCGCACCGCCTCCTGCTCGTAGCCCCGCGAAAGCGCCAACGCCTCTTCCTCTTCCGCACCTCCGTCCTTTCCTCTCCTTGCCTCTTCTTTCTCGCCCTCCGCCGCTTGCGGCTCCTCATTTCCCGTACGCAGTGTGTCTGCGCGCCACGCCTCGAGTCGCTCCACGACAGTCTCTGCACTTCGCTGCGCGGCTTCGTGTGCCCCACGCACGGCCTCCTGCACAACCCGCTGCAGTGAACCAACCTGTGCATCAAAATGAAGCAGCGCCTCATGGTAGGTCTGCTTGAAACGCCGCAACTCATCCTCCTTTTCTTCTATCATGGCCTGTAAAATGGTGGCCTGTGAGGTGTTTATGTGCTGCAGGGCATCGCTCTGCTGCCGCTCCCGCAGCAAGTCCTCTACGTCCACCTTCAATGACTGGTGCTCCTCCGCCATCTGCTGAAGTCGCTCATGCTCCTCCCGGTTGACGTAGTACCCGCCGCGCTCCAGAACACGCTCCTGCAGTCGATTCCGCAGCCGTTGATTCTCCAGCTCAAGGGAGCGAAGGCGCACCAGCAGCTTTTCCCGCTCCGTGTTGGCGGCATTGCGAATCGATCGCGCTTTCACGGCGTACATGAGGGTGGACTTTGTCTCCTCAATGTCGCGCCCCACGGCGGAGATGCACGCGATCATGAGGGTTCGTGCCGTCCCCCCAATGGAGTCGCGAAGCAGCTCCGTGAGTTTGGAGTCACGGTAGGGGACATGGCTGGGCCGCGTCGCCTCATTTGAGTTCGCGAGCGCCAGAAAGACGCTTTTCAACGCCAACAATGACTTGTTGATTTTGCACGTCTCGTTGGCCGCGATTCCGCTTGCCTGGGATTTCTTGAGGCTCTCACTGCCCGCCAGATCCACCATGAAGAGGTGCGCCACGTCCACTGCCTCCGTGTAGGCGTTTTGCTCCTCAAAATCGAGGATCAAAACGACGTGGGAGCGGCTACTGCGCTCATTCATGAGCGTCATGGCGGTGCGTCGCCAGCTGAGGCCGCGCCGTATCGCCTCATGGGCCTCGCTGAGGCGCGACAGCGTCAACTTCACCATCGCCCTCGGAAAACCGCCAACGAGGGTGACCTCCGCATCCCCGTTGTCGCTCAGCATGTCCGTGAGTTTCTCGTTGTAGATCTCAATCATGGAGAGCGTCAGCGCACACTTTGCGTCCTCCAGCGTCTTTTGCTGCACGTGCTCCAGCATGGCGGCAATCATGCGGTGGGCCACGCCGCCTGTCTCGCCCTCCGCGCCCAGCATTGTGTGCGTCTTGCCGGTGCCCGTCTGCCCGTAGACCATCACCGTCCCGTGCAGGCCATCCTTGACGCTCTGCAGGATGGGCCGGCACACCGCGAAGACCTCCTCCTGCGTGGCGGTGGGGGGAAAGATGAAGTCGGGGTCGTAGGTCTTGTTGTCAAGGAGGATGCGGCGCCCCTGGTGGAAGTCCAACCCAACCGCAGGGCGCTCATTCTCAAAGAGCGGACGACATCGCACCGCCACTTTGATGTTACTCATTTCTGTCTACACCAATCGCGTCCGTTGCCGTTGCTGCTCCTAACAGCGCCTCCTCGCCCTCGCCCTCGCTCTCACACACACACACCCGCAGGAACAGAGAGGCAGCCTGTGCGTCGGTGCGTGCGTAACGTATGTATGCCTCTACGCGTGTGCCGCTCCTCGCCCTTCCAAGGCGGGGCAGCGCAGCAGATCTCTCCCGCCCGCGCCACAAATGGCAAAAACCAAAAAAAAAAGAAAAGAAACAACCAAACACGGTCAAAGAAGGAGCAAATAAAAACGAGTAGATAACACTGAAGGTTTGCCCAACCGTGAAGCAGCAACCGGCACTCAGACAAAGACGAAAACGCCAACCGGTTTTGTTGTTCTCAAACTTTTTCTTCCTTTCGTTCATGCTGAGTTAAACTCCCCCCTCCCCCTCCAGCAGCCTCCTCCCACCAGCTGAGAAGCGAGGAAGGCGCAAAGCAAAAACAAACACACACACACACACACACACACGTACACGTGTGCCCTGCATGCCTCACTCGGAATGGCCCGTGCTTGCACGCATGGGCAGGACAGCCCGCGGCAGTCCCTCACCGACGCACCACGAACGACTTGAAGGTGTACGCGGCCCCGGAAGAGACGATCGTGGCCTCCACGCCCTCCACCCGCGACTTGGGCGAGCCGGTGCGGCACCACTCCACGAGGCTGTCGACGCTCTCCCGTGGGCCCTCCGCCATCACCTCGACGCGGCCGTCGTCCAGGTTGCGCACCCAGCCACGCACCCCGCGCTCCTCCGCCGCGCGGACGGTGTATTTGCGGTAAAACACGCCCTGCACGCGGCCCCGGACAAAGACGTGGCAGGTCACAATAGCCGGCTTCGGGGCTGACATGGCCGCCCCCTCGCCTTGCTGCAGCTCGACCCCAGCCCCCGCAATGCCTGGCGACGGGCGGCCAGAAAAGAGAGGAGGAGGATGAGAAGGAGGAAGAGGGAGCAGAGGAGGAATAACTGACACGGACGGCAACTGCAGCAAACACAGAGACGGTGACAATAATGACGATGTCAATAACAATAAAAAGCGGGCGGACGCGTGTGCGGGCAAATGGCTGACACAACCCACCCACACACGGAAGTAACAAACAAACAAACAAACGGGAGAAGTAAAAGCGGAGGAGGGAAAGAGGTCATCGCCGCCGCACCGCCCCGAGTAATTCGTCACGATAAAAGAACTTCGCTGCTGCCGCCAATGCGCTAGAACGGGAATATGCCGGCGTGAGCGGAGGGCCAAGAAAAATACGAAGAAAAACAAAAACAAAAAGAAAAAAAAACGAAGAAAACGGAGGGGCAGGCAGCTAAGAATAAACACGGCGCAAGGACGTCTCACGACTCCATCGCCTTGATGGAAGCATTCACCAAATTTTGCAGTGTCCGCGCCTCGCTGCTGAGGCGACTCAGCTCCTGCGGCGGCAGCTGCGACCCCGCGGCGACCAACTCGCATATGGCGTCAACCTTCACCTTCACACGTTGCTCCATGATAGTCTGCAGCGCACGACGATCCTTTTTGTGCATATTGAGCGACTTGGTGAGGGTGGCAATCTCCTCACCAACACCGACGTGGGCGTAACGGAGCCGCTCCTCCAACTGACGTAAGGTGTCATCTTTTTCTTGCACCACACGCCGCCATTCCTCCTCCTTTTGGGCGTGGCTGCTCTGCAACGCCTTCAGTTGGCCCTCTAGCTCAGAAGTGAGCGTTACGACTGCCGGAGGCGCCGCCTCCAATGTGGACGAGGCCACGGCGGGTGCAACCACCGCGGTGCGATCGATGCTGTTACTGTGCGTGTCCCTACCATTACTACCAAGACCGTTGCTGCTGCTGTTGCTGCTATTGTTATTATTATTAGTAGTGACATGACTACTGTCACCGGCGGCCGAAACACGTGACGCGATTGCCGCCGCGAGACCATGTTTTGTCTCGGAGCGAATCTTCTGCTCTAATTGTTGCAGTGCCACGCACACGTTGTTGATCCCCACCCGCTGGGTCGCATTGGTGCAGCACTCCAGCGCCTTCCGCGACTCCACAGCCAACGCATCCACCTCATTCATGAGTCGCAAGCGTTGCTCACGCTCCTGTGCTAGCTGCTGCTGCAGCGCCTGGATGCGACCCTCGTACGTCTTGCGCACAATTCCCTGCTGCTCATCGATATGGCGCCGCGTTCGAGCAATGACGTCTTGAATGGCGGGCTGCTGCGCCTTGACGCCGCTCAGCAGCTGTTCGAGGGTATTGCTTTTTTGCTCGCTCTCCAGCAGACGACTCCTGAGGGACTCCAGCTCCTGGCACTGCTGCCAGACGTGGTCGTCCAGCTGCCCCTGCACCAGCTTCTCCGCGCGTTCCCGCACAAGTTCCACCAGCTGATGCCGCACCGCAGCGTCTACCTGCAGCGTTGGCTGCTGCTGCTGCTGCAGCGCCATCGACGGTGCACGGGGAATGGCAAGCAGCAGCTCCAGCATCTTCGCCTCTGCGGTGAGCAATACGGCCGCGTTGGCATCCGACCGGTACCGCACTTCAGCAGCGTCGGTGCCCGCCTGAACACGTGTCCGCTGCAAATATTCCTCTGCCCGCGCCCGTGAAAAAGGCGTGGCAAGGTTGCCCTTAGTGTTCCCCTTTAGTTGCTGCTGCAGCACCTCCAACGTCTCCTCCAGCGTCTGGACGTGTGCGTCGTACGCGTCGACCTCCTCCTGCAACTGCAGAATCGTCTCATCCCGCTCATTCAGCCGTGTCGTGAGGTTCAGCATAATATCGCGCTGCTTCAGCAGCAGCTGCTTGTATCTATCCACCTGCGCCTTCTCTTCCTCCATGACTTGCCGCTCACGATCGAGTTCATCGAGGCGCAGGGCGTATTCGTCCGATGTGCGGGGAACACCCTTGAAGCCACCGTTTTGCAGCATCCCCTCTAGCTCTTGAATGCGCTCCTCGAAGCGCTTCCGTACCACCAGCTCCTGCTGGTGGGCGCGCGAGGACTCATGCAACGCCTCGAGCGCGGCCTCACGGTCCTCCTCCGCACGACGCATGCCCTGTCGCAGCTCGGTGAGTATGCCTGGGTCAATGCCGCCGCCAACCTGCTGCGAGGCGGCGTCGCGCTCCTGGAGCTGCCGCCGGAGCAGCTTCAGCTCCTGCTCGTATTTGCGCAGAAGCGTCGCCTGATCCAGGTCCTCGTTGATGACGGCGGTGTTCTTGATGTTCTTGGCACGGTTGGCAAAGACAAGCGTGGAGAGGGACTCCGTGTACGACTCCAGTGCGGGGGAGATGCAGGCGATCAGCGTCGTCTTGCAGTTGCCGCCGAGGGAGTCCCGCAGGGCGCTTGTCAAGACGGAGTTTCGAAACGGCACGTGCCGATGACGACCACCGCCTTTGCTCGCGAGAGCCGCGATGACGTTGCCGAGCTCATGCAGGGATTTGTTGATCTTCTTCGTCTCCTCCAGTCGCTGGCCCGTGACACCCGCCTGCCGCAGCTTCTCGCTGCCGGCCAGGTCGACAATGTTCAGCTTGCCAAAGCGGTACGAGGTGGGGTTCGTCTCATCCCCCTCCATCACCTCCACGATGATGGTGAACATGGCGTGGGAGCGTGAGGAGAGCTCGCTCATCCGTGTGGCGCTGGTCGCCCGCAGCGAGGTGCCACGTTCGATGAGGCCGTACACGTCGTGCGGGGAGCGGACAATCCACTCCGAGAGACCCTCCACGTACACGCCACGCTGCGGCGTGTGTCGCACGGTGAGAGCCCGCGCCGCGGTGGGCTTCAGCAGGTCTGAAATCACCTCGTTGTATATCTGCAAGTAGGAGGCACGAACCAGGAAGCGCATGTTCTCGCGGCGGCTCGCCTCAATGGAGGTGAACACCTCCTCAATGGCGCGAGGAATAATCCCTCGCTGCTCTTCACTTGTAAAGCCCTCCATCGTGTACGTCTTGCCGGTGCCTGTCTGGCCGTACGCCATGAGTGTGGCATTGTACCCCTGCATCACAGAAAAAACCGCTGGCTGGGCACTGCGCTCGTACACCGCACACTGCGGGGTTTGTTTGCCGTACACGTAGTCAAACGTAAAGGTCTGCCGGGAGTACACCCCGCCACGGCCATCCTCCGTGTCAAGCGTCTCACAGAGCGTGATGGAGCGACTGTCGTTTGGGATGCGCACAACGTCGACGTAGGGGCGATAGCCGGTTAACTCCCGCTGCACCGGCGGACGCACACGAATCACCACCGTAAAGTTCGACTCACCGCCCTCGTCACCGCCGCTGCCACTGAAGTTCGCGCTGACGGCATTGCGGTGGACTGGAGAGTGAGCAGACGTGGAAGCGGGGGACAGGAAGTCGTCGTCCGTGTCGTGTCTCGCCCCCGTGCTGGTGCTGCTTAACAGCGAGTCGCTGGGGTTTAGCGCCGGTCGTGAGGTCCAACCGCCACGCTGCGGCGATCCCCGCGTCGGGGACGTTTCAACGCGTTGCGGGTCTCGATAGGCCATTTGCGATCGCCGGGGCACACGCACAGGCGGCCCAGCCGTGTCCCCCGCCTCCGCTGCTCAGCGGCGGCGCGCGCAGAATACCGTAGGGGGGAGGGGGGGAAACAAAAGCGTGCGCCTGTGCACCCACACACAGAGCGGGAAGGAGACAGGGTGGGTGTGGGAGTGTGGGAATAGAGGTCGGCCTTGCGCGGGGAAGGCAGGGCGGCAGCCTCGCACCTCCTGCTCCCACCCGGAGCAAATGCACGCACGCACGCACGCGGAGTGTGCCTGAATGTGTGAGTGGTGGTGGGGTATCACGACCACGGGACACGCAGAGGGAACGAACTCTTCTCAAGGGTCAACAACAGTATGCGGGGGGAGGGGAAAAAACAAAACGTGAAAGAAACAGAAGCAAGATCCAAGCAGCCACCACCGCCACCAAAAACGCACACCAACAACAACGACAGCGACAACAACAACAAGAGTGGAAGTGGAGGTGGAAGCGTAGACGCCGCACATGCATTTAACAAGCAAAGGGGGACATCAACACCGAAGACAACGGTGCTCCCTGCACGCGACAACGCTGCGCATTGGCGTGAACTCGGGGAGATACGACCCCCGTTGCACCCCGCCTTCCTCTATCCTTGTTGCTCTTCGCTTCAACATCCCCACACAACTCCCTCCGCTGCCCCCTCTCGAAATGCGGTTGTATTTGTTTTCTCACTCTCCAAATATATTTATATATAAATGAATGTGTGTGTGTGTGTACGTCTTTATTTATCTCACTCCGGCCACGACACAAACGAGAACACTGGTGCGCACGCAGGTGCACGGGGAGAGGAAGACAAACAGTTAATACACCGCCTGCAGAGACGCGGCTGGATCGGCGGTTTGAAGTGCGGAAAGCAAGATGGGCGTCAAGGAAGCAAACGTCAAGTGGGGTGGGTGTTCCTTCGCTCGCACGATCTCCGTCTTGCCCCTTCCCGCTTCTCCTCTATGGTCAGGCGGGCCGCCAGTGGGGGGAGACTGAGGGAAGTGGCACCCAAACCTGCACGGTGGCAGCCGCCACCACCGCCACCCCCTTCCCCGCTTCTCCCCCACCAGCGCCCATGGCCATCGTGCCCTTCTGTCATCGTCGCTTCCGCTTACGCCTACAAAAAAAAATGACGCGGCACACATATATGCCCAATAATAAAAAAAAGACAAAAAAAGTAATGGTGGGGAAAGGCGTCTCCTGGCGAACCTCCCCTCTCTCAACATCCCTTTCGCTTCAGTATGTTTCCCATGTCTTCCTTTTCTCTAATAAATAAAAAGGGGTATATCTCTAATCGGCGCCAAAAAAAAAACCTCTATTTCTTCCTGCTGCTACTACCTTTGGGCTTCTTTGCAGTTTTGTGCTTCGCATTGGCGGCAGCAGAGGACGTGGACGGAGTCGCCTTTTTCACCACAGGCTTCTTTTCAGCCTTTTTCCTCGTCACCTTCTTGTTCTCGGGCTGTCGCTTCGGCTTCGCTGCAGCGGACCTTGCTGGCACCTTTGCTGCCACTCTTGGGGCGGCCTTTGCTGCTGCTGCGGCTGCTGCTGCTGCTGCTTTTGCTGCTGCTTTTGCTGATGTTCCTCTAGTAGCCCTTGACGTGGGTGCCTTCGTGTGGACGCCTTTGCCCCGCGCGGTGGCTGCGGCCACTTTTGCTAACACCGTCGCGGCTGCCGCCGCAGGGGCATGGTCCTTGCCGCCGCCTCGTTTGTCCTTCGTCCTTGACCTGCCTTTGGCCGCCGGCATCGGCGTTGTTGCCACTCGACCCTTTCGAGTTGGCTCCACGGCATGTCTTGGTGGTGCGTTTAGCCACTCCGAGAGTTTGTTAGGTTTCTTGCTGCTCCGCCGACTGTCGCCCTTTGCCCGCCGCACCGATTGCCCAATAACATCGGCCCAGAAGCCCTTGCGGTCCCCGCCACTTGTTTCGGCCTCTGCCGGGCTCATGTTGTACCCCGTGATCTTTGTGAGACCTGCCTTCTTCATGAAATTTGACACGCCCTCGTTGGTGCCATTCGGGGTCTTGGCGTACATCTGGTTAATATCCTCGTCCAACGAGGACGCGTCGGGGGACTGCTGCGCCTTTGTCAAGGGATTCTTCTTCGTAATGACTGGCCGGCTTCGCGGACTAGAGGTGGGATCCAGAAACAAGTGATTGCCTGGTGCCGCCGCCACACCACCCCGCGGCGCCATCCGGTGCGTTGACGGCAGCCCCTGCTGCTGTTCTTTTTGCTGCTGCAGCGGCGGCTGCATCATGGCAGCGTTCACTGGCGGTATCGGAGAGGACCGTTGCTGCTGCTGCTGCTGCTGGCCGGAGACGCCAAAGGAGCTGCCGTTGCCACCAAACGTCCTTCTGGGCGACTGCGTGTGCGTCGCCAACCAAGGGACGTGCGGTGCCGCCCTGGGGTTCCCCGGTGCGGGTGCCGTGGATGACCGAGGCGCACTCCACGAAGATGCCCAGCCCGATGCCGACGCGGTGTTCGCCGCCGCGGTGTTTGCCGACGTACCCCATCCATCGTAGCCGAACCGAGGTGACTCGTAACCAAGGGAAGCCTCGGCGGCTGCCGGGGCGTGAGCGCCTGTGGAAGAGGTGTGGGAGTCGAGCCGAGGAAGTCTTGTTCGACGCGGCCGCAGCTCTTCTTCTGTGCTGGCGCTGTTGTTGTTGTTGGCAGCTTCACCTGCATGAAGGTCCGACGGCGGCAGCGGCGGCGGCGGCGCGCCGTGCCACGCGCCGGACAAGCGGCCTGTGTCAAACAATTTCATGTACGACGACCCCGGCGGCGACTCCTCTGCCGGCTTCACTGGGGCCACTGGCGGGGGAGCAGGCATCGCCGGCTCTCGCTGCATCGTGCTAGCGTTCGGTGCGGCGCCGAAGAGGTTCCACAGCCTCGAGCCGGAGTGCGCGGCGGCCCTGGGCGGCGGGACCGACGCGGAACCCGCGGGCAGTTCTTGATTTACACTCGCGTTGGTTGTGGTGGCACTCTCCGGGGCCTCTGCGGCGGTCCCAGCCGCCCCGGCGTGCGCCGTCTCTTGGGGAGCGACGTTCAGCGCCGCAAACTCCGACGGCGACGGCGACGGCGACGGCGACGATGAGGGCTGCTCCTGCTGCTGTTCTTCGGCCGCTGGCGCTGGCGGTGGCGCTGCCGCGTCGGCGGCGGTGTCTTGCGGCGACGCTCCAAAGGGGTCAACGTCCAACGCAACGTTCACGTCGTGCGACGACGGCGGCGGCGGGGCCGCGGCCCCCAGCGCCCGGGCAGCCCTCAACGTGAAGCGGCCCACCCGCTTCTCCTCCGCCTCCTTCGGGAAGGACATGGCCAGAACGGCGTCCCGCAGCTCCACGGGGTACGTCGCCGCGTTGTTTCGCACGGCGGCCGCCAACGGCGTAGACTCCGTCAGCGGCGGGTTTGCCATTCCGTGCTGCAGCTGCGCGAGCAGGAGCGTAATTTGCGCCGCCTCCTCGTCTGGCTGCGTCATGCGG